GAAGCACACCAGCCTGTGTGATCACGAGGTGTCAAAGGGATCAGGAATCAGGCATCATCAGAACAAAAAATCCTATCATTGTGAATGAGGGTGGGAGTGTGGAGTGGAGACCCAAAGCCCATTTGTAAGCCACTGGATATCCCCTTACAGAAGGATCTTGGGGACGAGAAGAGCCAGTCAGGGTGTGTTATAGCAAAGATGAAACATACAACTTTCCTCTAGTTCCTAAATGTCCCCCCCACCCGCCCACTATCATGATCCCAATTCTACTTTACAAATCTGGCTAGACCAGAGGATGTACACTGGTGCAGACAGGAACTGGAAACACAAGGAATCCATGGCAGATAATGCCTTCAGGGTGTGAGTGGCGATACTGGGAGGGTGGAGGGAGGTGGGTTGGAAAGGGGGAACCGATGACAAGGATCTACATATATCCTCCTCCCTGGGGGAAAGACAACAGAAAAGTGGGTGAAGGGAGACGTCGGACAGGGCAAGATATGACAAAACAATCAATTATAAATTATCAAGGGTTCATGAAGGAGGGGGGAGCAGGGAGGGAGGGGAAAAAAATGAGGAGCTGATGCCAGGGCCTTAAGTGGAGAGCAAATGTTTTGAGAATGATGAGGGCAATGAATGTATAAATGTGCTTTACAAAATTGATATATGTATGGATTGTGATGAGTTGTATGAACCCCTAATAAAAGTATTAAAAAAAAAAAAAGAATCATTTGTACTATATAGGGGCTGTATATAGAGCTTAGGGGAGGAAAATACAGATATAGGTAATGTCAAGTCAAACAGCTAAGTTAACAAGGTAGGTATTCTTTTCCTCAGGATGCAAGTAATCTTGGTAGGGCTACTTAAATCTGGCTGGTTTTGTTTGGCTTTCTTTGTTCTGGATTTTTGTCGTGCCAATACTATACCAAAACTAAAGCACCAGCTGAAATCAGCACTTCTAATTTTTTGTTTCCTTCCTTGAAGCTTAAAAGTCATTCTTATTTATGAAGGATTCATTCTTTCAGCTTCTTCAGGTTAGAATGATCAGAGACTTAACTTGCGATTACTCAATTGCTTGCAAACCAGGATGATATAATTTCCTTAAAGACACAAAGGCAAAACAACCCCACCTGGGAAACTTATTTTACTTCGCTGCAGCTTTGTTCTGGGATCTGATAAAAGAAGACTGTTCCTCACACCTGATAACCGTGTGGGGCAAATGTTAAACCAGACCTTTAGTCTGCTCAACACTAAAGGGTTATGATTCAAATGGTCTCAAGGAAAAAGTGGGAATCTGGATTTCTAAGAAGCATCCTGCAGGACTGTTAGGATCAGGAAAGTTTAGGAAACCCTGGATTAGAAGATTTTTTAAAGTTCTTTTTCAGTTCTACAACTGCACAAATCTAAAATCTCTGGATCAGTGGTTTCCAAATTGTTCGAGAGTCCTAAGGACTTCAGAGCAGTTCAATTGGAAAGGGGAAGGATAGGAATGAGGCTGAAGAGATAAGTTATCCAGACCCCAGTGACGCACTTCAACTAAAACAGCTATACATTTATTTACCAACAATTACTACAACAACAAAAAATCCTTGAAAGGAAAGTTTCTTTTATTTCATGGCAAGGGCTTTAGAAATATCAACACAATCTTATTTACTAGCTGAACTGAAAGAATGATTATCATAGAACTGAAATATTAAAGTGAATCTAAAAATTAAAGTTGTAGAAGTTGACAGAAGCAGGAAATAACTGAAATGAGCACCTTAAAGCTGGGACTAAAGAGTGTACATCTTAACCCTCAAGTAAATCAGAAAAAAATTCAGACAATGAGGTTAGGAATAAACTTTTGAAGTGTCTCCTATGGGTAACAAGGGAAATGTTCTTTTATAGAAATATATTCCACTTAACAATGATACAGAAAAGTGCCGTGTTAGTCTCGGGTCAAGATGAAAGTCTGGTTAAGAAAAGCAGGACTGTATTTTCAGGGGGAGATGGAGATGGAGATGGAGATTACTAACTGCTCTCCGTTTTGGTGCTCCCTTCATTTGACCACATATACGAACTCTGTGAATAATGCTTTCTTAAAGACGTATGTAATTAAAGAACTCTGGCTAGCAGCTCTAGCAGGAGTTACTGTAAAAAATGTTATGTTACAAAACAGCAAGAAAGCAACTAAAGAATAGGGCAGGAAAGGGGAGAGCAGCCACAAAATTTTAGGAACTGGAAAAGATATATTAAAAGAGGGCTAACCGACTTAGGCTAACAAATAGAACCTTAATTAGTAAAGAAAAAAGGCAAAAATCAATGCCAACCCCTTTTCTACTAGACACTCATCGAAAGACTCTGTGACTGACAGTGTCCAAGGTATCTGTACAAGTGGGAGAAATGGAGAGAGCGCAATGTTTTTCTATTTTTCAGTATATGAAACTGAGGATTGATGAATCTCTAGGGGCTGCACTAAACAGAAGCAAGACGGTATTAGAAAACGCACGAGTAACAAAAGAATACTCCTGGAAATACGATAATATAAATAGAAAACTCAACAGAGGTGAAATGATGTACCAGAAGGTAGAACACCGAAATATAAGATACAAAATAAAAAAGAAGTTAACAACATTAGCGGATGAATACAGGAAGATCCCTGGTGGTGGTACACACTGGGCTGCTAACTGCAAAGCCAGCAGTTCGAAACCACCAACCTCTCTGCTGGTGAAAGACCAGGGCTCTCTACTCCCAGAATCAAGTTAGTCTCAGACACTCACAGGGGCAGTTCTACCCTGTCTGATATGATTGCGATGAAGCAACATAAACACTAAGGCAATGAGTTTAGTTTTGGTTCAACAACAGCACAACGTGTAAGAGATCCAGAGGGGAAAATATCCAGTAGAGAACAAAATGCAAAAGAAAATGGAAGAATTCAGGAAATTTTCCCAGAACGGGCTTCCAGACAAGAAGCCACATATTCTTCCATTGGATATGGATGAAAATAGACCCACACCAGCATGCAATTTCAGAACATAGGCACAAAAAGGTCCTTTTTATAGTATTCACAGTATATTCTATAATAGTATTCTGTGAATACTATTCACAGAAATAGTATTCACAGTGAATACTATAGGGGGCAAAAAGCCTTAATTATTCTTCTGCCATACAGGGTCACTAGAAATTAACAGTAGTCAATGGGCTTTGGCATTTATACCAGGTCTCAAGAAATCTTTTCCATCCCATGCTCCCCTGCTGAGAGCTACCAAAGGATATGCTACAGCTAAGTAAGGAGACACAATGAGATGGGCGATACGGAAATCAGATGTCCAGCATGGGACAAAGGCAGAGGGAATCCTTAGGATGAGGTTGCAGAGAAGGGAGGACAGCCACGCCTCTGCTGCCACTAATGCAGACCCAGTCAGAGGAGCGTCGAGCTGCTGGCATAAGCATCTCCAAGAGGACACTGAAGGAATAACTGAAGCATCTGAACAACTTAGAAGGAAATTTACAAACTTGTGAAGAGCCTCAGACTGAATTAGAAAGTTAAGCCAATAAGAAGAGCAATAATACAACAAACTACAAGAAAAGACACCTAACTATTCATCTTCCATAGAGGGTAACTGATAATGGCTAAATCTAAAAAACCATGAGGTAGCGATACATGTATGCCATTTAGAAAGACAGTGATAAATGCCAGTACCTAAATGTCTAGAGAACTACAGGTGGTTTCTCTAGGGGACGAGAGGTGGGAAAGGGCAGGGAGGGAGGGGGGTGGGGGGTGCACCGTTCATCTTCACAAACCCAACAGCACTATTTGAATAGAGTGGAATATACGTCATTTTTAAACGTAGTAAAAATTAAAATCTCTAAAAATTGATTAATGAAAAGTGCAGCGATGTTAACTTTGCTTATAAATAGCACTAACATTATTAGTAACTGCAGCAACAGAAAGTACCAATTAGTAACTCTTTTACACACTGAAATGCTGACTAATCACGAGACTAAATTAAAGAAACTCAAGACACATGCAAGACAAGCAACTATTTCTTGAGGCAAAGCATCAGCACAATCAAGCAACAATCTGCCCCACACTCACCCTTCCCCTCCCCTCCCTCCGAAAATAATTTACAGAACACAATCACAGAAACCATAGTTTAAAACTTGGCATTTTTGTGGTTTGCCTTATTATAGTATCTAAGCATCTGCTTCCAATTAGTAATTAACGATATCAATATGCAATATTCCTCATCTGGTTTCATTTAAGGAGCAATTTTTGTAAAAGCTGCGATTCAGTAAGACACAGGAATTGCAATCAATGAACCTTCAATACAACTCAATGCAATGTGTAATCATAGAATTCTATGTCCTCTCTCTCTGTACACAAGGACGAGAATGGAGTTAGCCCAATCTTCCCTTTGTTGTTAAGAAAACCAGAGGATGTGTCTCTTAAAACTAGGAATAATGCATTTGAAATGAGTTTGTGCAAGTAAATCTTTTCTTCTATATGTAAATGTGATTGTGCTTCAAAGCTGTATATCATCTCAGGCTATAACATGTAATACGATGAAAGTTATGCACTAAGGCAAATAAAAGCATTACGCAATACCTTCTTACAGAGAGCTCGCAGCTTGAAAGCAGAAAAATGAAATGCAGTGTTCATAAAATTTAAGGAAAAAGCTATTACCATTCCCCCAAACTTCAAATATGTTTCAATTGCTGTATTTGTTTAAAATAGTTAGTAAGCTTAATGCTTTTTATATATTTAAAGAAGGAAAACATTCCATTTTCCTGAAAGTCTGCAAATATTCTTTACAAATTTTTCTCTTATATGCACACCAATTAATTCTACAATTACTATATTATTGAGAAGTTTGGCATGAAAAAAGCAAATTGAGTTAAAACATGTACCTTCTTATTAAATGCCCAGATTTTGTCCCATTCCATGTTCACAACTGAACGTGAAGAGCCCTAGAAAAACATTAATAACATGAGTTAATGGGCAAGATTAATTAGAACTTTAAAAATCTTATTACAAGTGAAATATCTCCTGTCTTAGAAAACAAGCAAGAAATGCTTTATGTACACTGCCACTGAAAAAACAAATTTTCACATACACACTAAGTTGGTTATCCCACAGACTAAGGGGTTCTGTTGTGAATCATTCTACAGGAGAAAAGTCACCAGCTATTTTGTCCAACAACAGGTTAGTCATATAGGATATTTTCAATTTTCCACTACTGTAAACAGTGCAGAGCATACCTTTAATTTTGCCCTGGACAATAAGAGAACGTAAGAAATAATAAAGACTAAAAGGGTATCAACAGACACTTCAAATTCAGCAAAGTTGAGAAAGAAACCCTAACTCACCTGGGCAGCAATAAACTGCTTCAGCCCCTCCACTGTCATCCCTCTTCTCAGTACACCACGAACTGTAGGAAATCTTGGGTCATCCCTGGAAATATGTAAATTTTTAATTACTGCGGAGCCTGTGTGTAGATGCAGAATACAAATACATTTACAGGTAACAAATAATACTGATTATTTCTGAATATTTGGCCTAAGACCTAGTTGAATTAATTGGGTGGATCACAGTACAAGTGAGCCCATGTTCATGATGAAACCTGCTTACTAGTCAGATATTGTTCAGAGAAGAAAATGTGATATGGGAATATTCAAAGTGCATTTGAAAAAGCCCCTGCATTAATGCATTTATAGGAGCTCTTTATTAAACAAACATTTAAGATCACGTAAGAGATGGTAGTACTGGTGTTCTCCGGGTCACAAATGCTCTTTACAAAAAGCCTAGGCTATAAATAATGCATATAAAAAAGTTATTATTCCACGACCCTTTAATACAGTTCCTCATGTTGTAGGAACCCCCAACCATAAAATTATTTTCAATGCTACTTCATAACTGTAATTTTGTTAGTTATGAATCATAATATAAATAATATGCAGGACGTATTTTCACTGTTACAAATTGAACATAATTAAACATAATTTAAGTATACTGATTAGTCACAAAACAATATGTAATTATATATTGTGAAATATTTATGTTTTCCGATGGTCTTAGGCAACTCCTGTGAATGGATCGTTTGACCCCCAAAAGGGTCATGGCCCACAGGTTGAGAACTGCTGCTTTAGATAAACTTGCTGTTTATCAAATTAGGCTACACAATAAGTTGCAGAAAATACATATGCTTAATTCAAACATATTCAGCATAAACCTTGGTCACTATATGATGGGACTTTAAATGTACATTTTTGTTAGTTCAGATTTTCAAAGTTCTCTAGACTTATAAATATGGCTGCAATGAAATGAAATTACTTGGGATGGCCCTTCTATTGGTAGTCTTTGTAGCTCCCACCAATTGGCTGTGGGGTGGGGGGATATGTAGTAAATAGGGTGTATGGGGCTCTGGTATGAAGGGATTGGTCAGTTTGGGCATTCTACTGGGTATAAAGCGAATCACGTCAGAAGCAGGAAGCAACTCACAGCTAGCAAGAAAGAAGAGGCCAGAAGAACTGGGAGCTGAGTGTTTCAGAGGTCCCTGCACAGAGAAGCAATGGTCAACTATGAGCAGGAGCCTCCCAGCCACAGGACAAAACACTGATTGCCTTGGGGCAAGGAGGCTGCCTTGCAGTGGGATACCCTTTGGACATTTATCAGCAATACAGAAGCTTTGTAACACTTGCCCAGTTAGAGCAGAACCCAGAAACTTGTGACTGTAGGCCAAGGACCAGAGAGAGACAGGCTTGGCAGCAGAACTGACAAAGGCACTGTAGACTAAAGAACTGTATGCTGACCATTTTGTAACGTAGCGTGCCGAATAAAACTCCCATAACTATGAGTATTGTCGTGGGTTCTGAGTGGTCATTGCAACAGATTACTGAAACCAACAGGTGGGAGGGATGGTTGGTATCAGAATAATACCAGAAAAAGTCGAAAGGTGGAGGTGTCTGAACTCTGCCTCATAGGACTCAGCCTTGGCAGATGTGGTACTGGATTCTCCTGCCTCTAGGGAAGCTGGCTGTCTGATGAGGACCCCACGCCATTTCTCAGTAACCCACCTGAGCAGATACATTTTTTTGTCTTCAAGCACTTAACACCGGGCTCTAAAAGCACTTTCAGTTTTATACTTTTGTCTATCTGATACAAATCCTATATTCCTTATGAATAGACTACAAAGGCTTTTAAGCTTTTTCTGGGAGCTGAAATCCCTGGGCAACTTGTGCTACAAGATTGGTCCTCAATACATACAGGGCCGAGAACATTTATGGCATCACCTCAACTCGGGCTTTGTGGGTATTTCTGGGACCCCGTCAAAAGAAAAGGCTCAGAGTTTCAGCAGAGTATAGAGTTAACCTGATCTAAAGAGGAACATAAAGTCACAGCCACTTTCTATGAATGCCGAGGTGGTTGAAGAATGCGACCTCATATGTGCGTTCCATTACTGAGTGCCCAGGCCCACAACAGGCACACTACCTTTGTGTTCAACAGAGCCGGGAGACCCTAATGCACTGGTTGCAATGATGTTAGAGACGGGGAACCTGCAGGCTTACCCACTCTAACTCCCCCAACTCTCTGAACCTCAAAGCACTATATAAAAGCACTGGGATCTTACTTCCTATCAATTCAATACAACATTCAACATACCATCCATCGACCAGTCCTTCATTGACAAACCATGTGAGTTTTCTTTTGGACAGCACTGTGTTATTGAGATTTAGCCGACTATATTCCCAAATATATGGTTTTCTTATGCCCAATGCTTCAATAATCCAATAAAACTGTTCATCTCTGTCATGGTACTCCGTTGTTCTCAGGGCATGTGTAACACCTTCAATGCTGTCCACAATAGGGCAAGCAAAGTCATATGTTGGATAAACACTGGGGAGGGGTGGGGAGAGAAAATTTTTTAAAGTCCAAATAAAAAAGCATATTTATAATCTAATAGACATTAGTGTATTGGTTTGGCAAATTCTACAATCATTTTTGTATTAGCTTGAGAATATAACAGTAAGAAGCAATAAAACTGTGCATATGTACATATATATCTACACGTACAATTCACTACATATGAAACATATTCATATATATAAAAAGAATCACATATGTGTGGTTTTAATGAAAAAAAAACAAAACAAAACAAAAAAACCCCCTAATCTGAAAAGACTAAAAACTAACACACACACAGAAACAGGAATTTAGCTTTTGAATCTCCTTGGCAATCCTTCAACTGAGTAGAATTCTAAAGGCTTTAACACTGGTGTTAAATGCATTCAAGAACCACGTCTCCATTTTCTGCAAGTAAAAAAATAGGTTAAAATTCCATCTTAAGATGGAGCTGTCTTTGTAAAAAGTCTAAAATAATATACACACATACACGTGCTTGTCATTTCAACTTTTAAAAATATATTGCTGTATTAGGCCTTTTAATTTTTAAATTTGATGTCACTGTGACCCTAATACAGTATGCTTTTAAAATAATTGATACTGAAAATGTGTATCCAAATTTACTTTTCCAAATGTATTCCAAGTATTTGTTTAATAAAACACATTTGGTTCAAGTGACCGGCATATACAAGTGGCTTCAAAAAGTTTGTGGGAAAACTGAATAATGGAATGCTTCCATAAAAGTTTTGAAGTAAAAAAAAAAAAGTTTTGAAGTTCCCTTGCATATACATGTTTGTCTATAAATGGACACATTCACCCATACCCACAAGTTTAAAAATAGTCTACTGGCAATCATTTACCAATATGTCTTTGGAGTTTAATTCAGCATGTAGTAAAACCTCTTTATACTATAAAAACATGTACTCTATGGATTAATTTATAAAATAAAATATTGCAGAGTAGAACTATTTTTTAAGTCTAATCTGAAGATACTAAAAACTAATTTAAACTACATTTTAATTTAGTTTAATTTAAACTACTAAAAACTAATTTAAAACACATGATATTTTCTTATATTTTTCATATTTCTGGAACTTTTATTCCTATAACTCTTAAGGAGACAGTTGATCTAGAAATATAGGTCCACAACTTAGAACATATGTGTTCCAGTGAACCATACTTGCGACTGTTTTTGTCCATCTTATTGTCAGTAAAATGGATCGCATATGATATTGCATCATGCAATTTACTGACATTCTTCTCACATATTCAATTTTATGACTTACTTTGCTACAGTTGTTAGGCAGATTTGGAAGAAGTGAGATGTTACAACAAGATATACAACATATAAAGAAAAAGGACCATACAGTCAAATCTTAGTTTTCTAACTGGAAACACCATACCCATTTCCCAGTGGTAATCCTCAAAACACAGAACCATCTACAAATAAAAGTTATTTCCACAACTGACAAAATGCCAACACTATCCAATTCTACTTGTTAGGAGTCAATTTTTATGGTGTATATTTTTTCGATTTGGATGCATTAAAATGTATCTATAAGCGTTTACGTAACACTTGCAAGCCCCAACGGCAAGGGAAGACCCAAAGTTACTGGTAATAAAAGGCAATAATGAAAACCAAAACAGAAACAAGGTGTGTGGCCCACGTCAGAACTGACTTACGGAAGTCAACAGAGCAGGTACTACCTGTACTCTAATACAAGCTTTACTGTCAGTGGGTAAACTGAGGCCATGAGAGATAGGTGCCTTTATCACAGGCTACCCAGCCAGTTAATTTATGGCTGAACAAGGGCCCAGGTCTCTTAACTATTCTGCCAGCATCTACTATGTATTTATGGAAAGAATAAAAGCAAAACCATCAAAGGATACCCCCTACAATAAAATACTCACTTGTATTTATTTCCAGTCCTTGGGTGCGGTTGAATTTTGCAGCGATAAAGGGCTGGGTCTCTCATGCAACCATTGTTACTACTCATGTCAATTTTTGCTCGGAGACAACAGGACTGACCAAACTGACTTCCCTTTTTCATTTCTTCCCACATTTGTAGATTCTTCTCAACAGCTATAAAATGGTAGTTCTAGTTTATTGAATGTACTGCCAATGTGGTCCAATACAAATTACTTTAATAGTCCTGTAACTTGATACAAATCTTCAAGGCCCTGTCTTATAGTATTAGCACAGTGCATTCGTTTTAAAATGTTATTATCAATAAACCATTTAAGATCAATAGGGCAGCCTTTACCCAGTGACAATGTTTAGAGGATTAGGAAAGAAAGAATGGAAAAAGATTCAGGGAGAAAGGAGAATAAGCAATAATACATGGAGCGACTTGCATGGATGAGCTGAAACAAAATGTATATAAATTGTTGAATGTACTCATGATGATCTACTCTGCAAATCTTCACTTAATTAACAATAAAAATGTTTTAAAATGTTGTTATATGTTCAATAGCTGATGCCTAGAGCAAATGCTTCACTTTTTAATGGAAAAAAAACCCTCTCCTAATCCATTTAGAAAATATGCACTCCATAAATAGGCTTAGTGATTAAGGACAAGAGAGAAAGTACATAGTCTAAAAGCTCTGCGCATCCACTGTTTCTCATTCGGGCTCAACTGGCCACCTCTCTCCACCCCCACCCCACTTCAAATTTAACTCTGTGCCTTTGAAACAGAAGCACTCTCTTCACTTGCTGCTTCCTGCCTGGGGACAAACCAATCTGACTTGGTCCGTGGTCCCGCAGGCATTGGCACTGCAGCCTGCTCCCACCTGAAAAATGGAAGCCTGAGTCTGTGGGCTAACTAGAAGCTCCTTGTCATCCTAGTGAGACAATACCCTTGAAATAAGAAAATTAGGCATGAGAGGGAACAGCCTATAATGTAGAAAAGAAGTGTTTAATCCCAGAAAAGAACAACTCTACATGACAAAGTTACAATTCTAGCCCATAGTGACCCTCTAGGTATAGATACATGGTACCTATACATTGTAACTTTGGCCCTATAGGGTCACTATGAGCTAGAACTGATTCCATGGCACTCAATAGTCCTGCCCGTGTCAGAAAATCACAGACCTATCCCATATGGATAAGGAAAAGCTGTTAAAACAATGATCCCACTGGCGAAGCAATTGAAGACAGCACTTTATTTTCTCACAAATTGTCAAGTTATCTCCAAAAACCCACCTAATTGGAGACTTTTCAAAAAAAGAAAAAAAGAACTATTTCTAAGCAATTCAAGTTTACTGTACTTATAAAATGTGACACTCAAGATTTAAATACAGTAGTGTCAAGTTCTGGCCACAATAACAATGAAAAAAAGCCCACCTGAGAAGCTTCAGGGGACAAGGCGTGAGCAAGAAAGACATGCTTCTTTGATGAGAATTTCAGAAACACGGGGCCATAGCAAGATTACTTTCACCTTTATCCACACATTTATAGGAGGACGTGGGTGCTAGTAGCAATAACATGAAGCCTCTTAGAAAGGCTTCATAGTTGAGACAAGAAAGCGCTGCAGAAGGATTTGAATAGGATGAATTCAATACTACACATAATAAATGTGATCCAAGGACATGCCCACTTCCTGTGGAATTACGACACCAACAAATAAGAATTTAAAGAATAAAGGGCAAAGATTCCTTAGAGAAAAATTAACATATGGATCATATTCTCAAGTGTGTAAACAATTCTTTCATAGAAAAAAAAATTACATTATAGAAAGCAAAAGAATACAAGGAGATTATCAGTTAAAGCAAGAAGCCCTAAATGTGCCTTACAGTTTTTCCTGTGTTTGGATTCTATCCTCTGCTCACGTTCCACTTTCATCTGTTCAGCTGGAGTATCATCCACATAGGCCTTTCCTTCTTGAATTAGCTTCTCTGCATATTTCATAATAGTTTCAAAATGATCCGAGGTGTAAGTAAATTGATCTGGTTTAATATGCAACATCGCAACATCCTCCAAAATAACCTGCAATGTGATCGAAAATAACCATCAGTTTACCTTTGGCATGTTCTTGGGCAGTTTCAACCCTTGATACTGCATTTGGGAAAATCAAATAATGCACCACGTCTTACAATGCCTGAAAATGGTCGTTGGAAATTGTTGGCCATACTAGATTGGCTTCATTTTCCTACTCCTTAAGGGACAAATTATGAGAGAATTGGATTTAAAGATGAAAAAGAGCTATTTATTATATCAACCTCCATATTCCCAACTGAGAAAGCTGATCTCATGACAGAGGTTTCCAATTACTCCAGAAAAGATTTATTATTGCTTTTACTGACAATTGACCTCACTTGGAATATACTGCAATGCTGTTGAATAAAGCTGTTAAGACATTAGCAAATCTTTATAATTTCCAAAACCTATTTAGTTTTTGTTTCATTCATAAATTTAAGATTTTATGACCAAAAGAGAAACTTGCCTCCTTTTACCAGTTCATTTAAGACACTTGTACTTAGAGGAAAACATAGCACATCTATAAATTTTAGAGCAATTTAGAAAAGAGTAAAATATTTTAATTTTTTTAATGGGAACTCATTTTTTCTTGGCTTAGATCTAGAATACAGGTTTACCCCACTATCCGGAAGCATACAATTGCAATGAAATCTTGGAAACGTGTAAAGTGAAGAAGCAATCGTTATTCCTTTATAGGGGAAACACTTTGAGGGTCCTAGGCCCCCAAAATAACCTACCAAACCACACCCCGTGCCACACAAAAGCTAAAATAACACTAACATATAGTGTTCACAGGCACAGGCAAAGCCAGGGCAGCTGGAGGCTGCCTGCCCTTCTTGGGGAAGGAGCTTGGCAACACCATTGTCCCTGTTCCGTGGGGTGGAAGGGGCGGGGCCAAGCTGCTTCTGTAACACCCCACTGCCAAATCAATGCTGAATTCTGGTTTTGTAAGTGGAAATCCTCTTTGGTTAGCAAGAACAGTTACTAATACAGGCAGGTCTTCCGTGAATGTGAAGTGACGTAAACGGACTTTGGAAAAGCAGGGGACACCCGTATACAGATGAGGCAATAGCATGTAGGAGAACTTCATTTACTTCCGTACCATGAAGGTATGAGGTTCATGTTTTAAGCTTTAATTTTTATTAACTTTTCTGTCAAAGGGTCATCACTACACTTTTAATTACCTTCTCAAAATCTTCCTTTTCTTTTTCAGGATTTGTGTCATCAAATCTCATGATCAGTTTCCCTTTAAAGTTAACCTGGTAGTGCTGGTTCAGAAGAGCAGCTTTTGCATGCCCAATGTGTAAGTAGCTAAAACAAAAACATTTCACAAAGAAACTCATTAACACGCTTTAACTAAATTCTTAAACTTTACCCTTTTGAGGAGATGAAAACAAACAAAACCAAAACTCTGTCTTTGGTATTCCAGCCATGTGTTCTCTTTGAACAAAACATACTGTGACACAGCATCTGTCCCGGACAAGAGTTTTAAGAGATTACATTTGTAATGGCGCCGGCAGTGTCTTTCTCACAGGACTGGGAACCTGGGAGAATTTTATAACCATTTTTATTTTCTGTGAGTTTTAGTAGTACAGGAAGTACCTGTGTGGCCTGCACTTTTCTCAAGTGTCAACATCTTACCTTACTAAAGCACATCTGTCACAACTAATGAACTAACAATCTGTACACATACATGATTACGAACTAAACTCCACGCATTCTCCAGGTTTCATCACTGGTAAATTGGAGATGACAGTGCCTTTTTCTACGGCTGGTGGGATTAAAGAAGTTGCTAGTAAACGTAAAGCAGTTGGTAGTGGCTGCACACAGGAGATGCTACAGATGTTAGCTACGAATAAAGGGCAAAAGTCAAGTCTTCTGGCCTTCCATGTAACAGAGGGGATAAACATGTTTTATATCATCATAGAACTCTTAAGAAGTATAAAGGGATATGGCCAAAATTATGAATAAGAAAATCCAAAGGCTGATTAAAATTGATTTCAAATCCCTAAGTTATATTAGGTCAAGAGCATAATCTTTGATATTAACATAACAGGATAGTCTTGGAATAAGAAAACTTATTTTATACAAAAATTAACTAGAAAAGCTCATTCTTTAGTGACAGGAAAAATAGTAAGATCCAAAAGGGACAAGTGTTTATCTACAAGTTATGTACTGCCATTACTAAAAAGGGGCTTTTATCAAGCCCTAAGCCGGGGTCCTCAAACTTTTAAAACAGGGGGCCAGGTTCACTGTCCCTCAGACCCATTGGAGGGGCGGACTATAGTTTAAAAAAAAAAAACTATGAGCAAATTCCTATGCACACTGCACGTATCTTATTTTGAAGTAAAAAAACCAACGGGGCAAAAACAGCCAGCGGGCCGGATAAATGTCCTCGGCGGGCCCGCGGGCCGTAGTTTGAGGACGCCTGCCCTAAGGTCACTATTCAATGGGAAGACCGTCAAAGTCTCTCAAATTTTGTATCAGATGGTAGGGGTTCAAAATGTTTATGGCCATTAAAACAGGGATTATTTATTAGTGCATTCCACTTGGTCAATTACCAATCATTTAATGATCAAATCTGTGAAATGTCTAGTCATTACAAGCATACCCCAGGATATGTACTTTGCTTCATTGTTTGTTACGGTAGGTTTGGGATTTTTTTTTTTTTTAACAAATTGAAGGCTTGTGGCAATTTTCTTTCAGATACCTCTATCAGCGTCAATTCCCCAACAGCATATGTTCATTTTGTGCCACATTTTGGTAATTTAAACAATGGTTCAAACTTTTTTCATAATGCTATTGCAACCTAATAGATTTCAATAAAGTGTAAACATAACTTTTACATGCACCAAAGGAGCCCTGGTGATGCTGTAAGGCAGCCGTCCTCCAACTGCGGCCCGTGGGCCACATGCGGCCCACCGAGGACATTTATCCGGCCCGCCGGGTGTTTTTGGCCCATTTGTTTTTTACTTCAAAATAAGATATGTGCAGTAAGCATAGGAATTTGTTCATAGTTCTTTTGGCCCCCTGTTTAAAAAGTTTGAGGACCCCCGCTGTAAGGTAAGCATTGGGCTGCTAACCACAAGACTGCCAGTTCAAACACATCAGCCACTCTGCAGGAGAAAGAGGAAGGTATTTGCTCCTATAAAGATTTTCAGTCTTAGAAACCCTAACATACGCATGAAATAAAAAAGTTGTCACAACTCACTTTATTACAATGATCTGGAACTGAACTTACAATATCTATGAAGTATGCCATTCTCTTCTACCTCCTTCCACCTACCCTCTATTTTACCACCTACATCAGCAAAGATAAAAGTAGAGAACTTGAGTTCTAAAACTGATTTTACTGTTAATAGTGCTTATGAAATCGTATGCAAAGAACAATTAAGTACATAGCAAAAACAAAGCTGGTTCCTTATGTGCTAGATTCTATTGTTTACATACTCCATTTATAATAAATGAGTAGTAATTTGGCTGTATAACACAAATCTGAAATTAAAGTAAATTTAGAAAACAATAATCATATCATTTGTAAACTACAGAAACCCTCTAGTGAGGCTATCTGACTTACTAAGAGGCATTTTATTATATTAATAGAATTACTAGAAGGGCTCTATTACAAAGCAAGCCCATTAGATGTCAATTAGTACAAAACTCAAACTAAACTCACTGTCAATGAGCCCATTCTGACTCAGAGACCTTACAGAACAGGATAGAACTGCCCGTGGGTTTGCAAGACTGTTAACTCTTTAGGAGTAGAAAGCCTTGTCTTTCTCCCTAGGAGCTGCTGGTGGTTTTGAACTGCTGACCTTGTAATTAGCAAGAAAACTCAAAACCACTACAAGACAGGCTCCCCCTCCACTTTGGGGAATGCTGGGCAAAACCTGGGGCAATCAAGAGCTGGTGGCCTCAACAACAATAGCCATCTTCCCTAATGATCGATTCAAATATTTTCTAATATTGCCAAGGGTGGAAAGCAAGGGCGTACCTGTACTAACGGAGGAACAGGAAATGGACTATTCCAGACACGCCGCCTTTATTTGGGAAAAGGTAACTTAGAGTAATTATACAACCCTCACTACTAAGTAAAAGGATTGCTCGTGGTACAAATACCAATTCTTACTAAGCCAGAAAAATCTCAAAATCCAAATAAAATTTAAGCCCTTCTCTTTATGGGTATTTTCCTATTTATACTTAAAATTCTGTCAAAAGTAACTCTCCTATTGCTTTTAATAAGCTAATATTATAAACTTAATATATTGGCATTAACTGTTAATGTTGAGTAAGCTATTGATGTTTAGGGTTTAACTCCTACAATTAATATCTTATTTTCTTCTATATCATTACCCTATTAATATTAAAAGTTTTCATTAACTAAAAGCTATCTTCACTCAGCATGTACCATTATAAATGTAAATTGCTCCTTCTTACCCACTAGCCTCTGGAGGAAATCTGACGGTAACCTTTCCCATCTCTGCACCCGGAAGCTCAACAAATTTTCCAACATCTTGTTTTTTCTGTTCAGGTACCTAAACAGAACCAAAAAAAAAAAAAAAGTTACAAGTTAAATATTTAAGAATACATTCATTCAACAAATGCTTCCATGGTACCCAGTAGGTGCAAAGCACTGAGTAAGCTATAAAAAAATGACTAGAACATTGTTCTTACCCCCTGATGACTCAGAATCTGATGGAGGAATAAAATATAACCAAACTCCGGGGGAAAAAAAATAGTAGTTAACCAATAGCACTTAGGGTTACCAAGAAAAGCTTAAAGGAATTAATAACCAAGTAAGGGCTTAAGTGAAGAGCAAATGTTTTGAGAATGATGAGGGCAATGAATGTACAAATGTGCTTTACACAATTGATGTATGTATGGATTGTGATAAGAGTTGTATGAGCCCCTAATAAAATGATTTTAAAAAATAAATAAATAAACTAGAACTAAAAATAACCCAAGTCTTTAAAAAAAACAACTATGAAAAAAATAATAACCAAGTAGGGCCTGAGAAAATAAGAAATAAAAAATCAGTTGGACAGAGTGTAAAGGGCATTCGTTCTAAGAAAATGAGCGATGGTATAGGCAAAACAGACGCCAGGAAAAGCAGTGCCAAACATCGTGTCGAGTGCGTTCAGAGGAAGTACAAAGAACACAACGGAGCTTTTATGGCTGGCTTTTCTTTCTACAACCAAAGGCATCTGAGATTTGACTGTTTATTTGCATTTTTATTAATACCTGGGATGATGAAGATGTTAAATTAGAGAGACCAGAGACCAAAACCTGCAAACTCAATTAGGCAATGTGACCTCAATAAAAAGCAATGTCTGTGGAAATGGGTAAAAAACAAATTTATAGTTGAAAAGGTAAAATAGCAGGACCTGTTGATCAAATGTGGCCATGAAGGTATGTCAAGATTTATAGCCGGTTTTCAGTCGGCTGACACTGGCCAACAGTGGCTTTTGGAATTTGTTGCATTGACTTCAAGACCATTGATTCAACTGAAACTTCACTACACGTGTATAACGAGAGCAAAGCAGAGCCACACCGGCTGGGACAGGAGAGCCTCTCTACTCTATGCAGAACGAGAAAGAGCCGCAGAATCCCGGGTCCATGGTCAGTCGTTCAAAAGGAAAGGAGAAATTTGGGAGAAAATGAAGAATAGGTAACTGTAAAGCAATGACATTTTCATTACTTGGAGTCTGTAGGGTATACTGTGCATGATCATAATCTTTCAGAAAAATCATTTCCAAGATTGAGGTTTCATATAGTTGAGAATTTAAAGCCAAGACAGAACTTAACAATGGTAGATTGTTCCAGTAAGAGCTTTTTTCCTTTTTTTGCTTATGAAAAGAAATTTGCAAGAATAATTTTCTATTAAGATTTTAGTATCTCAGGAAGACTAAAATGGCAGCATGAAGAAAAAGTCTTACCACTTTAGGTCTTGTGGGTGAGACATCCCATTTAGAACCTACTGACTGAAAGGCCTTCTGGGATTCAAGAAAGCCAAACCAACGTTTTACATGAACTGGAGCTTTGTTCTGCTTCAATTGTTCCTGCCAGGTAGCTTTTCCTGTTAGGAAACATAATTTCAAAACCATTCAGTTAAGCCTGAGCTTCAATAGCAAAGATTTCATCAAGTTAATTTAAATAAATGTGATGGCTTAAAGTTGTACTTCTACAATGAAATTTGTTAGATCCAAGCACAAGTTGAAATGTTTCCAAATATCTGAATTTATCTTACAGCATTCACAAAACTATGAAATATATTTCAGTTCAATTTAAATACCAGATTCCACCCTTGTGTCCACACAATTGTAAAGTCAATTCTATGTTTCATATTGAAGAAAAAGTGTTAAGTAAATCAACTGGAGAATTAAATAAAAATCAAGATAATCAAGTAGCTCATTTCAAGTGGGATCTAAAAAATAAGTCGCGAAGAACTTTAACTCTTTACCATCAAAAAGCTACTACCCTTTTCTCTGAAAATAAGACAGTCATATTAATTTTTGCTCCCAAAGATGCACTAGGTCTTATTTTCAGGGGATGTCTTATTTTTCCACGAAGAAGAATACGGTACACATTTATTGTTTATTGTTTTATTAAAAGAGACCTCACACTTCCTGTCTGCTCCGGCTGCACTGTGGCCAACAGTGAGCTGCGCGCTGTACACATTTATTGTTTATTGTTTTATTAAAAGAGACCTCGCACTTCCTGTCTGCTCCGGCTGCACTGTGGCCAACAGTGAGCTGCGCACACTGCCACTATGGTCCAGAGTCCAGAGTTACGGTAGCTTCGTGGGGCCTTATTTTCAGAGGATGCCTTATATTTCAGCGAGAGGCAAAACTGTAAGTAGGTCTTATTTTGGGGGGATGTCTTACTTTAGGGGAAACAGGGTACCTTAAGAGAAGTACATTATCTTGGAAACATTGTCAAATTATCTAAATAGATCGAAAAAGTAAAAGAATAAACTTATATAGGAAAAGGTGTGACTAAAAACAGCTTTATTTTATGAAGTCAGAAATTAGTTACTAGGTTTCCAGCTCATCTATGCATGGGTTTATTCCAAAAACCTGTTTAAACACATCCCTGACGTCAGTACTGGCTGCAGAAAGGTTCTCTAAGGAATACACTTTGTCTTGGTGTTAGGGTGCCTTTAAAAAGGAAAGGGTCCAATCAAGAGTAGCTTCCAAGAGGGTCTGCTGGACCAATTAAGGCAGCGGTAAGATCTGACAGTTATAGTGACTGGGGGGATTCTAAACAGGAATCCTGAAAGATTTCCTCAAAGGACCCAGGAAACTAGAAAACTGTATGGGTAAGAAAGTAACTGGGAAAGTTGCACCAATGCATTTTCCCATCAGGATGATGCATGTGCTCATTCTTCAGGAGCAGCAAGGCTGTCCCAGTGAGAATTTCACTGGGAACTTTACCCCTTCCACCCTACAGCCGGGATCTTGCCTCTTCCAAATACTTTTTGTTCCCAAACCCAAGGAATATTTTAAAGGGACATGCCTTGGGTCCCTCAAGAATACTGAACCTGTTGATTTGATGTCGTAAAGTCAAAGAAGAGGATTCTTCCCAGAAGGATTAGAGAAATGGCAACACTGCCTTCGGAGCGTACGGCCCTAAATGAGGGAAACACTGAGAAACAATAGCTTCACATTTTTATATTTTTCTTTAAATTTCTTTCCTATGATTTTGTAGCAATACGTTTCACTTACTCTCGTTAGTTATTGTTTAATTTGGGGAAAAATCTGAGCCACAGAGAGCGTAAAAACACTAACGAAAGTGCCTACTGCCTAGATTTTTACATGAGAAGTTATTTCAGCTCATTTGCCTCAGCTTTTTAGGTAGACAAAACTCCAGCACCCTTTTGTGCCTCTCACCAATCCTTCTTACACACTCACCACTTACAATTTTTTGTTAAAATGGCCTTCTCAATTACATTCACACCTTTGTTCTCATTATACATAGCAAATAGTACACCTCAAGTCTTCAGTTAACCAGAGACTTCCATGCCACTAGAACACTTTTCCTGAAGTAGATCAACCATCCCAAGCTGTCCTTCCTGGTTCTGCACAGCCACCTTGGACCACTTTCTCCAGGACCACTTACAACCACTGATACTGTAGTCAGAATTTACAATTTAAGCTGATTCTAACTCCTTTTTGGTCTTTTTTTCTTATGTCACATCAGGAATGCTGTCTACCTTAATCTCCAAAAATTCTATTTGCTATCTGTCCCTTTAACATCTGTAGCACATGACTGATCAGTCTAATTTTACCTGTCTACCACCAATGGTTCCCATTCTCAAATTCTAGCTTGTTTCCTCAATTCAGTGAAACATTAAGAATCTATTTAAGGATTTTTACAATTTGTCCCATTCTTGGTATAAATTAAGAATTCTCTTTATCAAACGCTCTCCTTTCTAGGAGATAAAAATCACCATCACGGTGAGCAAAAACTTATCTGACTTCAGGCTTGTTAAGTGGTGCTGCTAGGAACATTTGTGTACACATGTGTGTTTTAACAATCAAATTATTTCCAAGATACATGAAAGAGTAGAACTGCTAGGACATATGACAATTTTAACAAGACCCTAGCAGTACTTTGGTCAGGTGTTCGGCTAACGCAAGGTTACAATTCAAACCCACCAGCTGCTTCAAGGGTGATGGATAAGGCTCCCGACGTCCATAGAGACTGTCTCAAAAACCCTACACAGGGTTGCTATGAATTGGAATTGACATGTCAGTGGGTTTATGACAACTGTATGCCTAACTTATTGAGGAGCACACAATTATTTTTTCTTAAACTCCTAGGCAAATACCAAGCCATCACTCTTTGCTCCTCGCTACATATTGGATCCCGCCTTTTCAAAATTTTCACTCCCCCTTTCCCTACCTCCCATATACTGTTAGTCTGTATTTAATTAATATCTCAAATATAGATGAAAATAACCGCTCTCCCTGATAAGTGCTTGCAGGGGACCAATGAGGCATGAGAGACTTTTGGAGGTGGTGGAATATTCGCTATCTTGATCATTGTGATTAGTCCACAGAAGTCCATAGATATCAAAACATTTTTACCATGTTAGTTTTTCATATATCAATTATACCTCCCAAAAGTTGTTTAAAAGGCAACTCTATCCCCAAGTTGGTATATTCTTATCCATTGCATAGTCTTAGTTATTGCAATGTAGCGAAGGAAGAGAAGAAGAGAGGGCTCCTGGAGGAACTGCAGTTCCAGATCACTCCCAGCTCCCCCTGACATGCCTACTGAGCAGAGAGAAGTGAACACAGTAGTGCTGGGGTAAAGCGCGGCTGGGGCAGGAGAGCTGGGCCTTAAGCAATCGGGATGAGGGCTTCCTGAGCAGGACAAGGCCAGCTCCAAAGGCAAGAGTGGAGCTGGGATAAGACGGGTATGAGCAGAGGAACAGCAAAGCAGGGTAGGAAATACCCATTACTAGAGTGCAGAAATATGAGGGGGCACCCCCCAAAAACAAACCAATTTCCTCCTCAAAAGCTATCTAAACTTTTTTTTTAACAAAGCAACCTTGTCTTCTTCAAAGTACTCTCCATTAAATTTAATATATTGGTCAAATCTGCGATTCCATTCTTGGAAACATTTTTCAAACTCATCTGTTTGAATGACTGAGAGCACCTCCCTCCTTTTTTCTTTGCCTCTTCTACTTTGTCAAATCACTGTCATTTCACGTCCTCTTCATTCTCGAAAACAAAAAGAAGTCTCAAGGAGCGAGCTCAGGTGAGTCAGGTGCATGGGGGGGGGGGGGGGGGGGGGGGGGGCATGCTGTGGGTTTTTTTGTTTTGATTTGTTTTCAAAAACTGGCACACTGAGATGGTTGTGTGAGCAGGTGCATTGTTGTGGTGGCAAAAATCAGTCCTTTGTCTGTTGGGAGCCGGCCCTAGCAGACATTCTCAAGGTCCTTCAAACAGTGACCGGCTCTAGTGGAAAATTACTGGCAGGTGGTTATGCCTTAAAAGATATCTTAGTCACCAAAGCTTCCTTGTTCTATGAAAATGTCTGAGACAGCTTGCAGTCTGTGTTACCCTCCGTCTCCCCCGAAGTGTTCTTTGACTATTGTGCAGCTGTAACTGTTCTGCAGCTACGTGACCTTGGTTGGTTATCCTCCCCACTCTTCACCCATTGGTTGAAATACTAAGCACTCATTGGACTACAGACATACCATATTGAGAATATGATGGATAGCCGATTGGTTAACATTCTTATGCTTCATTATAATAATACATGTTGGATTGGATACTGTGCAGCACACCTTATTAGAATATGCACCTCCCAGTTCCTCTTTATATTCCCCTAACTTTGCCCAAATAAACGAGCTTGATCAGCATTTGTCTTGCTCCACGTCTCCGTGTCTTTCTTTCCATCCAGGTTCGTCTTTCCCCCCAAGGTCCTGCTCGTGCGTCCCGCTGGTCGGGACGCATCATTTGTCTACCACAAATCAGACCTTTTTTGGTTACACACTGTTATGCGATCTTTTCAGAACATCTATAGAAAGCTTGGTTTAACAGTTTGACCTGGTGGAATGAACTCCAAATATACTACAAGTCAACATTTTCATCTGTGATGTCCAGAATGAGGTATGCCATCAATAGACAGTGCACCTTTTTGAAATGAGAAAACCACTCATAAGCTTGAGTTTTTCCCACAGCTCTGTCATTGTAAGCTGTGTTCAACATCTTAACTTTCTGTGGCATTTTTTCCCAAGCAGGAAACAAATTTCACAGCTGCACAGTGGTCTCTTAAATTGCCATCACAAAAAATGAGATTCAAACGAAACTGGTTGTAAGAAAAAATTCCCTGTGACCAGAGAGAATTTTCCCAGGCGACACCACTGGGTGCACTAACTCAGAGAGAGTTGCTTGATTTTCACCTAGGGGGGAAAATGTGTACTATAAAAGCTCCACCTAGCAGTCTTTACCCATTGGTGAGGGGTGGGTAACCCTCACATAATCAGAGTGGTCATTTGCTGTACAAAGCCCTACGGTTCTGTCTATATATAACACACACACACATACATATACATAGAAATATATGCTCTTCTTACCCTGTAAAATACTAAATAGTTCTAAAAGGGCATTCTTTAAGAGGAATTACTGATACCTTTGAGGGTGGCCCACACACATACATCTGCCAAACTCAAGGAATTTCCAACTAAGTATGTTCTCAGAGACAGGCAATGATTCAGCTCATCGACTGCAGACGTAAAAAGGTTACATGAAGACAACTTTGTAGCACTGAACTCCATCCAGTGATCAATCTGTTAACAAAAAGATGAAGAAGAAATAATGCACCCCAGGGTTTAGACTTAAAAATTAAGAAGAAATAAAATTAACACGAACTGTAGTAATAGCATACTTTGGCTTTCTCAATTAGATTCAAGTCCCATCTCAAACTATAGACTATCTCCTTATGAGGATTCAGTTTTTATTTTTGTATTCTTATTTTGCAGGTGGTGCAGGACAATCTAAATGAACCCAAGGGATAGTACCTAGCCATCTACTTGCATACTTTATAAAAGTAAATCTTAAGAAACTTTTTATTTTTAATTTTATGAGATTTAAGAAAGTTAAAGGAATAGAAAAGCAAAAAAAGGATGGCTTCTAAAGAGCAGTATTCTTAGAAGCCTTGAAGTAAATCTACTATTCCTATAACCTATATTCAAACTACATGCGTAATCCTTAGCTAACTGTTAACATTTGTAGGCTTGCTGTCTCATTACTACAGTAGGGGAGGTAAAAGCTGGATTCAATGGATGACCTATAGAGTTCCTTAAAAGGAGTATTGGTGCAACAGGTAAGCATGTGTCCCTAACCAAAAGGTTGACAATTCAAACCAATGGTAAATAGCAGGTCTGCAGGAGAAAAACATGGTAATCTGTGTTCGTAAAAGAAATGACAGACAAGAACACTTTATGCATAGTTCTATCTGTTACGTGGAATTACAAAGAGTCAGAGGGACTTGATAACATCTAAAAACAACATTATGGTCCCTTCCAACTGAGAACCTAGGAAGAGGAAGGCAGCACACCGTGGCTTTCTGGGGCAGCTGGTGAGAATTAGAGTCTCAATATTAGGAGTTAAGGGGGGGAAAGGGGAAAATAATTTCTCTGAAAATAAAAATATGAGAATTCCTTAGTTTAGTCAATAATTTAAACCAGGATACGGTATTAGGATTCTTAAACCAATGATAACATAGCGAGGTTCTCCAAAATGCAGAGGCATTAATCAAACACAGAAATGTTAAGTCTTTACCTCAGTGTGTTCCATCAGGTTTGAACCATAGAGCCCAGCTGCAGTTGCAACTCTAGCCAAGTAACGAAGTATGGAATTTATGTCTGTAAACATCACATTCCTACAATAAATGAGATAAAAGATTAATCTATTACTCTAGCAAATGGTAAAAGTCATGACCGCGAAGAAACCCCCAAACCTACTGAATTTATCATACACATTCTGCTATACTAACAAAAATAGATCAACCTAGTTTGTTCTGTCATCCTAACCAACTCCAGTTTGTTCTGAAGTGTTAGCTAAATCCAACAACTCACTTTGGAGCAAACTACAAATGGAATAGTCTGCTGAAAAAGAGAAGTCTCTGGGTATAGGTCTTTTTAGAATGAAGAAAAGCATTCCACAAGAAAGCAACTTAATTAGTAAGGAAAACAAGCATATAACACTTAACACTGAGTATTTTTAAAATGGTGTTCAGTATTGAGAAAAAGGATATAAGAACACTTACTCAGAAACACGAAGAATATTCTCTTTCCCTTCTTCAACAGAAATGCTGATATTGTCTTTTACATGTTCTACGGCTAGCAAAGCTCCTATAAGTAATAAGATAAAAAGATTTCTAATAAAATAAGGTAGTATTTATAACTTGTGTCATAAAACGGTGTGGATGACTCAACAAACCAATAAGTCCTGCAAGCAGTAAACTTTTTTCCCACAGTAATCTATACATTAAAAAAAAACTGTCTTGAAAAATAACAAATCAGAGTCCATTCACTAGCAAAGTCCAACTGCTTTTAATATACAGTTTCCGGTTAAACCCCAAACCAAATCAAACTCACGGTCATCCAATCAATTCTGACTCTTAAAGTAGAACTGCCCTATAGGTTTCTGAGGATGTAATTCTTTATGGGAGTAGAAAGCCTCATTTTCTCCTGCTGCGTTCCTGGTGGTTTCAAACTACTGACCTCGGGGTTAGTAGTCCAACTCAAAATCCACTACACCACTGGGGTTTGCACTTAGGGATGCTGACACTCATTTTCTCCTCCCTCCAGAGGCAAGAAGAAATTACAAGTGTCTTGTGTAGTCTTTAATTACCACATTACAGTGATTGTTATGCAGCAAGCACTGAGCTAAGCATTGCACATTAGGTTATTTCTAATCTGTAGAAACAAACAAAACAAAAAAATAGCAACTTTATCCCCATTTTACGGAATGGAAAACTGAAGCTTACTAGCTCATAATCCTTGACTAAACATGTGTCAGAGTAAGGATCTGATGCAAGTCAAAGAAGTACAGTACAGAGCTTAAACTCTAGTAACATAGTATAACACTGCCTCTCAGACATAATAAAATTTACTACATTGATTCATCGCTCTTTTGTGCTTTACTTTGACTAAAATAGAAGTGTTTGAGTCTAAGATGTGTCCCCATACTTTAAACACACTGCTTCATTTAATTCTGACAATCAACCCTACAGTTTCCTTTTTTAAATTGTAGAAAAATTGATAAACCTCAGACACCAAAGGGCTAGTTCTACTCTGTCCTATAGGAATGCTGTGTTGGAATCCACTCGATGACAATGTTTGTTTTTTGGTTTGTGTGTCTACATTATCTATTTATAAACTATATTTGCATCTCAGGAAGCTAGGAAAGCAAGTTTTACACTACTCACATTCTTCTCGTGTGTAATTTTCTAAAGTACTAGGAGGTTGAAATTTTAACCAATCTACCCACAATGACCTTGACCACATTGAAAAAGCCAAACTGAACTAACAACATATATTTAGGAAAGTGACAGCTCCAACGTGTCCGCTGTTTGCTACACCCACAGGTTGTGGAGTGAAGCGGCACCCTTAGTCTGTAGTATATCCGAGTGTTCGAGCAATTACCGTGTCACCTTTAGTTAAAAATAAATGTAACTTCAGTTGAAATCATAAATGATAACATGATCATCAGCTTTGTTCAAACGAACTGAGCATCCTTTTGAGAGTAGAGGGGAAAGTGAGTAAGAAAGATAGAGAGCTGGGGAGTAGAGAGGGGAATCGCGGATAATGGGGTCTTAAGCTTTTAAAATCTTATTTCTACCAACAATTCCCAGACTCCAATGAAAACTAGGACCAAAAAGGAGATGGGAGTTGGCTGGGAGCCACCGCTCGGAGGGAGAAGGTCCGAGACTCTCCCGCGTGTCGCCCAGCCAGGCTCTCCCCGCGCCTCCTACACGCCCCAAATCTACCTCCCGGTGCAGACCCGCCGGCCGCGGGCACGCGGGAGGGGCGCGGGCCCGCCCCGTGGGCAGTTCGGGGGCCAGGGACGGACAGGTCCGATCCACCAGCCCGTGGCAGCAGCTGCGCAGAGCGGCAGCCGAGCCCCGCACCCTCCCGGGCTGATGCAACACGTACAGATCGGCGGCCGCGGCCCCTTACCCAAGGGAGGGTCTCCGGGATTCACCGTCAGGCAGAGCGTCGCCATGTCCACCAGTCGAAGCGGCTACCTGTCAGTCGGCCGGTCTAGCCTCGCGAACCTCCAAAACCCGCCGAAAAGCGAGGCAGTGCAACGTGTGCGCGTGCCCGACGCTGCAGTAACCTTGGCTCCGCCTCTTCACCCCGGCGCCGTCGTCACTGCGCACACGACGCGCGTCATTGTCCGGCGACGTGTGGTCCCGCCCCCCTCTCGCGCAGACTCTCTGGCGTTCTCGGCGGACGGGTTCAGAGCGGCCTCGTGGCTCTCGGCGTACGTGGTGTGGGGGCGGGGATGATGGGAGAGAACGCTAGGGAGTCAGGACTTTACGACACTTGGTACCGGAAGGAAGCCGTTTGCCATCGATTTGGAGTCCTGGGCACTCTATACTGTAGGCCCATACTTAGTAGGGTCTGTAGGACGTTTAGAACAGCTCCTTGGAGTTTCTAGGGCTGTAAATCGGGATAGAAGCAGACAGCCTCATTTATCTCCCCGAGGAGCGACTGCTGAGTTTGAAATGCAACGTTGGGGTTAGCAGCCCAACGCTTAACCCACGCTCCATCAGTGCGCCTTAAAAGGAGGAAAGTTGCAAAACCAGTCTTTCTGGTTTTGTATGAGTGTTTATTTGAAGCAAGAAACTAAACAAGCAAAGCTCTGTTAGGTATTTTCAATACATCCATCCATACATAGGTAAACAAATGTTTTCAATAGATATTGCAAAACTTACCGGCTAGGAAATTCTATGAGCAGTTCTACACTGATACATAAGGTCCAAATTAGTCAGAATCGACTTCACAGCACACGTGTGTACGGCCCCTATGCTAGCAAGGACAAGACCTCAGAACCAAGCAGGCTCTGTAGAGACCCTTTTATTAAGCATTAAACCAAGCAGAGACCATCATGCACACAATGCCAAGACTGATGGAATTGAACAACTCAGTGCTGGCTTTCATATAAGAAATCACCACAAGATAACGATTAGATCAACTAATCAGTCTCAGGACTACAGACGAGGGAAAGAGCTCTGGCAGGAATGTGTGCATAAGTCCATAGCCACAAAGTTATTAGGAGATCGTGATAAGACCCTCCAACTTTAACTTGAATAACTACTTTTGGTAAGTGCCCAGGCAAGTTTCCTAATCCTTGGTGAGAGCATTTTGAATTATGAGTTGGGTTGCTAACTGCATTGTCAGCAGTTTGAAACCACCAGGTGCTCCGGGGTAGAAAAATGAGGCTTTCTACTCCCATCTTCAGTCTTGCTGGAAACCCACAGGGGCAGTTCTACTCTGTCTTGTAAGTGTCCTATGAGTCAAAATCGACTCAAAGGCAATGAGTGTTTTAGGTGAACTCATCTACTTATAACCGGTCTCTCAAAGAGCGAACTGCCTCTTCCTGGGCTAGCCCCATCATGTCTAAGCATCACCACTTTGCTGGTTTAATGGTTAACACTGAGGAAGAAACCGAGAACTCTAAAATGGAATTCAAAATGGAGTTACAACTCCTCCTGAAGACCACAGCCTTCCACAAACCAACCACTTTAGGATTTATGCTCCAATAGACAACAGAAAGAAAAAGTCCCGGAAACAAATGCCAAACCTCTCAAAAGAACGTATCTTTTGCAGATTGCTTGTGTTTAAAAATAGTGCTTATGGGAAAAGACGTAAAAGACTGCTGCTCCAAGTTGTCTTGCTGAGGCTGCATGCATGTGGTTTTCTGCGTGTCATTCTTTTCAAATCCTGTCATTTTGTTCTTTCTTGCGTGTGTGTGACCACACACCCATGTGCACACGCACTCGGGTATACTCCAGGGGTTGGCGTTCGAGCTAATGGAGCCCAGAATTGATTACAGAAACCACCTCTACTTCAACATAACTTCACTTGGATTTAACCGCTCCAAGAAAAACCTGTTTTCACTACCGTAGATTTTATCTCCTATGAGACTTGAGCCTGGAAACAGCTATAGGCTCTACCTGACTCTCCTCACCCTCAACCCTTCACCAAGATTGTTGTGTGAGGTGTAATTGAGGCAGTTCTGAGTTATAGTCAATCAATATGGCCCTTCCAGTCATAATTCTTTATATTATTCCATAATACTGGACTTTATAGTCCCATTTTCGAGGGCTTTCTCTACTAATGAACAGGAATAGGATGGGATTCAGACCCGGTCTTAGAAGATGTGAATCAGGGCAGACTCTGTTTTCCTTGGCTATGTGATGGTGCCTCGATACAATTCCACACATTCATCACCTCACCTGGGAAGCCAGACCTCTATTTCCTGCCTGAGCCTTGGTGGAAGCAAGAGGACCTGTTAGGGCTTTGGGACATCTTTGGCTTCTGGCATTGGAACCTGCATTTGGTTCATTCCTGTCTGACCTTTGGATTGTGGACTGACCAACATCCACCACCACATGACACAATTCCTCAAAATTTCAAGAATGTCTGTAGGATGCTGCAGTGACTCACAGAACCTAGGAATGGGAGGGAATATACTTAAGGGGGGTGGTGGGGTGGTGGAGCTGAATAGCACTGTGGAAGCGTTGGGCATTTGGGACACCATTAATCTCCCACTCCTTGGAACTAGCCTGGCATTAATTTTTCTAAAAAAGAGTATTACCATAGGTTCTAACAACCCTATGTACAATAGAAACACTGCCTAGTTTGAGCCCATTGTTATAGATATTGCATCAATCCATCTCACCAAGGGCCAGTGACCGCTCACTTTACCAAACATGATGTCCTTTTCTATGGAATGGTCTTTCCTAATAACATGTCAAAGGACAGGAGACAAAGTCTCACCATCCTTGCTTCTAAAGAACATTCTGGAAAAAAAAAAAAAAAAGAACATTCTGGCCATACTACTTTATTTGTTCATCTGAAAGACCATGGTATATTTAACATTCTTTGCCAGCGTTTTAATGCAGATGCATCCGTTCTTCTGTGGTCTTCCTTATTCATTGTCTGACTTTCACATATATGTGAGACAATTGAAAATACCACCAGGATGGCTATGTCTACATGCAGCCAGCCTCCTGAACAAGCCTCTGTCTCTTCCTACTTTCAGAACTTCTAGGGGTGGATCCATAATCCACATTTTAGGAAGTTTTCCAGGTGATTCAAACCATGCCTCTCTACCTCTTTCTTGAAATAACTTTGTCTTCTGTAGGCCCAGGTAACTAGAAAGGCTGCCTGTTTTACCTTCTGCTTTTTTCTTTTTTCCCTGGCCTGATTTCCATTGTGGGAAACAAACGTTATTCCTCAGGTTGACCCCCCCATAATATATACCAAACCTAACGTTCTGACTATATACTTCCCCTAGTGCCTCCCCTTCCTACTGCTTGCATACCCCTTGCTCGTCTCCTTTCCTACTGCATGTATGCCTATTGTACAACCCTTTCCTGTTACGCATGTGGTGAACTGTAATTAGGAGTGCTTGCAATCCACGAGTGTATGTATGTGTGTGTGTATGTATATATATGTGTGTATATATGTATGTATATATATATATGCCTTGATTGGAAATATTATCTCTGCACGAATCTGGCTGCTGAGAACATGGTCATCCTGGAGGTGAGCATGCACATGTCTTCTCTTGTCTGATGTCTCTTTAAATTTACTCCACAATTATACAACCACTCCTTGTACCCGTTCAATTGTGAGGGCTGGTACCCCACATTCCATGACTGAAAAACTTTAAAAAGTAATCCCCATAAGCTAAGATGTATTCATACCAAGTCTCTGTTGCAGCTTCTGAAGTCTTCCTCTTCTATCAGGTGAGACAGACCAGCAAAAGAATCTCCATTTTTTAGCTGCTGAATGACCTGCCTGCTTCCCCCTCCCATCTTGGAAAGTCCCACTAGGGATTGATTTTAGAATGTACCCTCACATGCCCTGGTTCAGTAAACTACAATTAGGTTAGCCTATTCTTCAATATATTGTTTTGGTTCTTTTAGGACAAGGAATGTACCTTGTAACGCATGCTTGCTCTTCTTGAAGTTACCAGAATGTTACAATCAATGCTGTCCCCCGTAGTGCTCCCTAACCCTAAAGAATAGTAACATTATTTTTGTTTTCTGCTTCTGTTCATGCCTGCTTAAGTTTAGACAAAGGAAAAATGAATTTTTTGCCTTAAAAAAGGACTGAAATGTTGACTCGGGACTGTGAAGAATTACTTTTAGATTCTAGCAGTCTGATTATAACCGAATAATCTTCTAAATTATCAATACATTATAGTGACTGTCATTTATTTGAGCCCATAACACTAAGGGCACACTGGCTGGTTGAGCTGCATGGCTCCAATCTGTTTCCCATTCAGCTTCTAAAAAACTATGTGTTTGCTCATTCAGGATAAGTAGGTTGCTTAGTAAAATCTGAAAATCACTTCAATTGGGGGTCAAAAGACAAAGCTCCTTCATTTTAACTGGTTCTTTTACATACCCTGGGGTATGGGTTTTCCAGTTCTACAAGTCAATGAGAGTAAAGGGGACATGAAGTTTAATAGTCACCCCTAGATGATCTGGCATCCAGGTGGGGTCCTGCTAGAGAGGGAGCTGCCTTAAAGGTTTCTCCACTTGGCTCTGTTCAGACTCCAGCTCAGAACTCAAATATGTGGAGTTGCTGGTGTGTTTGAAGTGACAACTTTGGGGATAGCACCCCCAGTACTCCCATACATCTTAAACAGTCAAGTGACACACTTATCTTTCTCTATATGTGTTTTCAAAGTATACACCTAGGCACGTGCAGTCACCCTGGGATGCCAGTGCTTTCTTCCAGCTCTCCTCCCACCCTCCCCTGGTCACTCTCTGGCTTCTCATCCTACTTGATTTCTTTTGTAGCATTTACCACAATCAGGCATAATCTCACAAGAAAATGAGTTCAACGAAGTACGACACCTATATCAGCTTAGTCAGTGTTTATTCAGTTTCTCTAACAGGGCCTACCATACAGCAAGTGCTCAATAAATATTCGTGGAATGAATGAATAATAGAGGGCCAGATGAGAGAAAACATGGTATTTGGAGACTTTTGGGGGAAAACTTTAAGTACTTGCTTGAACATGGTTGAGATACTGATTGTTGGTCATAGTATATCCTAAGAAACAAGGAAGAAGCCATATTATGAAGAGCAGTATATGGCATTTTGTACCCTGAAAACAATAGAAAGCCACAAAAGATTTTGAGCTGAGAAATGGTATTAACAGATTTATTTTTTAAAGTATCACACTAGATATGACAGGGATGGAGAGGAATTAAAGGGCAGGTGGTAGTACTGAAGGGTTAGTGGTCTGGATCCACCCAGAGGCACTTTGGTTCAGGCCATCTACTTCTGAAAGGCCACAGCTGTGAAAATCCTATTTCCTCCATGGACCACTGTGCCATCTTCCTGACTAATCTCCCCACCTGCCTGCTAACTCTTCTCCAATCCCTCTGCCATATTTTCTCTACTTTTCAAATACTTCAAAACAAAACAAAAAACTGGTGAGAAACAAAGAGCTAGAATCACATAATTTATTGTACAAAAATTTATGTGAAAATACACAATGACATTTTAGTGTATATGTAATTGAAACAGTCAAACTTTTAAAATTACAGTGAAAAGCAAGAAGACGACCAGGTAACAATTTATTATTTTGTATCCTAGGAAATCTGGCTTATGACAGGAATGTTGCTTAAATAATTGACCTGGATAGTCAATTAGAACTAAATCTTTCATTTTTCCAATGAAAGGAAGAACTATTATCCCCTTTATAAATTCTCTAACTCTCAAACGTGGTCTGGTTGATTAGACAAATTCCTTAATTCTGGATAAATTTGCAGACTACCAGTAAAGAATGAAAAGGTGAAGCTCTAATTACTTCAGTTCATTTTAATCTGTATTGATTTGTGAACCGGGTCATTCACTAAGTGAATGAGACTGCCCTTCAAGGAACAAGTGCACTTTTGACAGATTCTGGGACTCGACTTGCATAGTAGTCATAATTCCTCAGGGTGGCCAGGACTCCTGCTGAGTTCATATGCTTCACTTCCTTATTGTACCGAAGGGCATTCCCATGGATGTCAGTTAACTTGCCTAGAGGTAAATAAACAGACATTCACACAATGATACGACTTGCTTGGATCACTATGTTTCTATTTTTATGTGCCTTTCGCTTCTCTGTCCAGAATGAGGAAGAACACGAATGACTAAGAAGAATCAAGTTTTAATTCATTTTGAATTTGAATAAAAGCTATGCTCTAACTAAATAAAAGTTTTATGATTTTTATTTTCCTCTGATTCAAGTTAATTATCCAACAGTGCCATAGGGGTCCATTAACTTCATGTTGCATTTTTATTTTATATGTTTTTGAATCAATCCCCTTTCCCTGGGAGCATCCTTGGTAGCTTCACTAAATGCGGGCATGGAATCATGACACTTGTTTGTGCTCTTCCCTGAAATCACATTTCCAGTTAGCACTACTCCCACTTTAAAAAGTGTCTCCTTGATCCTACCATTTAATATTAACACTTCTTTGGGAGAGTTGAAGGATAGATGTTCATAAAGTATAATATCATATTACAGTTTCATGTAGCATCCTAGTAGAGTGAACAATGAAGAATTTAACATCCTTATCAAGCAACATGTTGAACTATGAGTATATTGATAATATATTTTCAGTTAGATTTTTTATAAATTCTATGTGATCAATACATTAGTATGGAGGTGTTCAGCAATGATTAGGAATTTTAGTTTTCAAGGAAATAAAAAAAAAACCGCAAACCTGAAAAGCAATGATGCTGTAAATTAATACAGGGAAGATTAAACTAACTATATGTAAATCCAGGAAGGCCCTAGTAGTATAGTGGACTATAAATTGAGTTGCTAATTATAAGGTACAAGGTTCAAACCCACCAGCCCACCACACCCTCCCAGGGGAAAAAAACAAGGCAGTCTACTTCATAAAGATTTAAAGTACTTCCCAATTAATAATAAAGGAAAAGATAAAGAAGATTCAAAGTCTTGGAAGCCCAAAGGGACAGTTCTACTCTGCCCTATAAGGATGCTCTGAGTAGGAATCATTCGAAGGCAGTGAATTTGGTTTGGGTTTTAGATGTGGATCCCAGTTCCAAAGAAAAAATAACTAAAAAAATGAATTTTGCTGAAAATCTGCTTTTTCACCTAAAATAAAGCAGCTGCACTGGATGATCTCTACGTTTCTTTCCAGATTTTTTTTTTTATATGTTGAAAAAGTTTATATTTAGCATTAGCCAGCTGGGCTCAGTTCAGATGATTCCAATTTTGTTGGCAACATCTAAAGCGTCATAGTCAGGAGCCAGTCGAACATATGCCTTCTTCTCACCGTCAGGCCCGATCAAGGTGTTGACCTTGGCTACGTCAATGTCATCGAGCTTTTTCACAGCCTGCTTGATCTGGTGTTTGTTGGCTTTGACATCCACAGTGAACACAGTGTGTTGTTATCTTCGATCTTCTTCATGGCAGACTCTGTGGTCTGGGGAACTTGATGAGGGCATAATGGTCCGGCTTGTTTCTCCGGGGGGCGCTCTTCCGGGGGTACTTGGGGTGCCTTCTCAGTCTCAGGGTCTTGGGCCGCCGGAAGGTAGGTGACGTGCGATCTTCTTTTTTGTGTGGCTGTGGACGCCTTTCAGCACGGCCTTCTTGGCTGCCGTTTTGGGAGGGGCAGGAGCTTCCTTCTTCGCCTTCGGTGCCGTCTTCGTGAAAAGCTTCTTTCCAGATTTTATATCTGAAGAGTCTATGTCGTTATTTTACTGATATATTACATAAGAACTGTCTGAAAATCAACTCTAAATCCTCTAAGTAAAATGGACTAACGTCCCATGTAATTTCCCAAAGAAAAACAGCCTCACCTCCCACAGCATGCAAAATGACTTCAGGTGCACAGGTATCCCACTTCTTACATCCAGGACTTGCAAATACATAAGCAGAGGCTTTGCCTTCAATCAGCTGAATAATCTATAAAGTGAAAAAAAAAAAAAGCCCTGAACTATAAAGTAATTCATGTACAAACAGGAAAAACTGCTTATTCTATCAGGTATATTTTGTCAATGCCTCTCAAACTGTTCGGTTAAAGCCTTTGGCAGGTTTAAATAATACTGGAATTGTGGAGAAATAAAAGAATATAGGACAGATGCATATAGAGATTTGAGGAAGAAAAATCTGTAAAGTAACCTACATGGAGGTCTGAATAGTCTTTACTTTCCAGAGAGGGGAAATCAAGTTCCCGTTTTATGTTTGTCATTTCTCTTCCTTATTGGAAAAGGAATGTGTACATTGTACAAAAATTTATTAATGCTTTTAAAACTTTAAAAAAACTGATCATTATTATATGAAACAGAAATATCAGGTAGTGTACTAATTTAAAAACTATAACTAATAAGTCCTATCAGTTATGCAATGCTGATCAGTTTAAAAAATACTTGCAAAAGTCTTCAGGTTCTGTTAATCTTACTACCGAAATATAAGCATGTATCTTAATTCCTATCATTCTTAGGTTAAGACTGAGGTCACTGATAGCACTCACATGATTCTAAACAGCAACTTGCTATTTAGCTTTCATTAGCCTGTTGACTTTTAAAATTAATAATGTAATACAATCATCACTGTAAACTCAGACTTCAAGTATTTATATGAAGCGAACTGACTAAGAGAATGAGAAAAATCACTGTAACACAAATCAACCAATTATTCTCTTCAAACACTAAAACCACACCCTGTAAGATTCTTTTTTATTTAACGAATATTTGTCAAGTCTTATGTACCAAGAACTATGCCAGCATATTTTCTGAGGGGAGAGAGTTTTATCCTTCATTCAATTCTCAAAGTTGTCTTTTATGGAAAAAAGTTAAAACATCACCCAACCAGGTCTTTTCACAGGAAAAAGGGCAGGAATAACTAGGGCAGAGATATTGTTTTCAAAGGAGAATGGTGGGCCCTGGGAATAAAGGATGGTTTGTGGTTACAAAAGTAGGGCCAACTGCCTGTCACTATTTGATTTCAGTGACTACACGGAGTCTGCCACTTTGGGAGGTTTAGGATTTATTTTTATAATAATGTTGTTTTAAAGAGTCTATTTCTTTCAAGGTATCTTTAGAAAATGTAAAATACTTAAATATTCCTCCCAATGGCTAGGTAAGAATAAATCAATTCCATAAGTTCAATAAATATTTATGACTTACTTTGTCCCTGACAGCACACAAGTGTGAAACGGAAGATGTATCAGGAATTAATTCCTACACAGAAAAGAGAGAACACCTTGGCGGTGCTGAGAGGGGATGCGCTCAAATTGGACACGCTGAATTTGAGATACCTGAGGGATATAGTCATGATGCTAATCCAGGGAGTGCAATCAGATGAGGAGAGATCCCTCTATGGGATGTGATAACATTGCATCCCATTTCACACTTTTCTCAGGAGGATGGAAGTCTGTGGGGAAGAAGCCAGGAAGAAGCAAGCAGGCCCATCCTTCCTGTGTAGTAGAAAGTAATCGGGGAGGGTCTGTCGGAAAATAGGAGCTAAGCAGAGGCAGAGGATCTTATCCTTGTTCCATATAACACTCTAACACTGACCTCTCCTAAGAAAGACTTGAAACATTTAAAATAATAATAATAATGGTGAAATATTTTTTTGTGGGCAATTTATCACCTTTACCACATCCCTTGGTCTTATTTTCCATTTTCGAAAAGATAAGTATTTCTTCCAATGATTCAAGTGCATTTCCGCGTGGGCTACATACCTTATTTCCTGCTCCTCCCACTCGCAGCACGTTGTCAGGGTTCATTGCAGTAACGCAGTCATTAACCAACTTATTGCTATGGGATCGGGTAGTTGTGACAATGTGCTTCCCAGCAGGGACTTCTTTCAGCTGAAACCCAAAGGCACCCAAACCTAAAACTCCCCAGATTGTCCTTCCCAGCACTGCATCTGGTCCTGCCTATGTAAACAGGTGAAACAGCAAAGTTTGTCATCAGTTGGAGAAAATGTTAGCCATAAATGGGATGTTTGTTTGTATTAGTGTTACGATAATTTTATACATGCAAATAAACTCATTAGACTTGTTTTGATTTCAAGGGTACTGAAGGGAACTTTTTTTTTTTCCCTGGGGCTCTTGGAAAGTAATAAGCACTGCCGACTATTTCTCTTGGAATCTCCCAACAATCTCATCTTTATATTTGAGAACAGCTGCCTTCCAAGGCCACTGAAGTCTTCAGGAAATGAAAACACCAGGGGTTGATTATACTTTTCATTATCCAAGAGACAAGAGGGGTCATGTTACTATAGGTATAGGTAGTGGTGATAATGGATAGGCTGGTACTGAAGAGCTACCATGAATGTTTTAAAATTTGATTGACAACTGTGGTAAAATGACAGTGCAATGCAATCTTAGAATATTTTCACAAATATTCAAACACATTATTAAAATGATACACATAAGTTTAGAACAATAAAATCTGTAATTTGTGGAAAGTAAGATGCATAAAACGAGTGACAGTGAGTCATCAAAATACCATTATATTAACCTCCAGACCGAAAGCAAACCACCCACTGCTGAGATATACCAACCCAGGGCACAATGTATTTTACTGAACATGAAGCCCACACCAGCACCATGCTAACTGCTTTACATGTGTTATCTCATTTAGTCTTAAAACAACCTGATGGAATAGCTATTATAGGTTTGATTTTACAGGTGACAAGAGTGAGATTTGGAAAGCAACCTGACCAAGGACACTAGGAAGATTATAACCAAACTCAGACTCATTTGTGTTCAAAGCTTTACCACTATGCTACACTTGCCTCAGTTTTAACTGTCACAATGTTTTTGAAGACAGCATCTCATTTGTCCTGTAGTAGTACCCTGGGTGTTTTAATAGTGAAATAAACAGATGTTTTCGGTTGGGATCTCCAGGGAAGTAGAATTTTAGACAAAGAGGGTCTTTACCAGGGACCAGAAGCGGGAGTGGGCCCATGGGGAATCCAAGCTGTGACACAGGCCCAACAGCACCTTCACTTGACCAACTGGGGAGCTCTGGAGCTAGAATGGCTTTTCAGGGTTGTCCCAAATTGGGCTGAAGTGCTGGGTCTTTATGCTCTGGCAACAAGTAGTCATTGCACATGGACTGCCTTGCCAAGAGCATGACGCCTGGTGAGGCAGCTCTTGAACAGGTAAGAAAATCCCCAAAGAGGTTAATAGCCAAAGGCTGTCTTGGACAGCACTCTTTGCAAACAGGGTAACAAAGGAGTCAAAGAAACCTGGCAGTTGTGGGCCCTGCCGGTGCTCAACCTGCTACTCTGCTTCCTCTTGATTCTGAACTAGAAGAGAGGCAGGCTTAGAATCTGAAAGGTGCCGATGGACTCTATGGTGGCTCTAAGGACTTCTGTGGGTTTAGCCTGATTGCCACTGAGACTCATTCCTTGCTCCTAAAAAACTTATTAATCTAATTTTCCAGTTATCCTGATAGAGAGAATCATACTAATGCATGGATACAAGTATTTTGGACCCTCACCACTCATTTTCCCTCCAAAGATGAAGACGCAGGCCAGGAAGATGGGAGCAGGGGAACTGGGGAGTTGATGCAACCCTATGATGGGGCCAACTAGCCTTCCTCAGTGTGCCTGATCGCTCAGTCTGTCTCAGTATCTCTTTTCTTCAGAGCTCCACACCAACTCTTGGTGGACAATGAAGGCTCACATTCCCAGCTTACCAAGGAGTTCATTAAGATTCATATTGGTTAAGAAGTTAGCATTAATAGAAGGAATGGCATAGTCTCTACAATATGCTATGTTTTTATTAGGCACCTAGCAGATTCACTATTTATGTCAGACAGTGGTTAACGTTTGCATTGCTATACATCTTTCACTGCACTCCCGGTATAAACACCATTGAGTAACGAGTAGGAGCTTGGACCTAGGTTTCAATTCTAGCTCTGCCATTTACTAGCTGGATCATTTGGGGCAAGTTTCTTGCCCTGGCGTCCTCATCTTGGGGATAATGATTTTCTTACAGTGTGGTGGTGAGCAGCAAGTGAATGACTTGAGCCTGGTTATACATGGTGAGCTCAGGAGAAACTTCAGCTATTCTTAGGATAAATATTCAAAACCCAACCTTCAGCCTTGCGCATCCCAACCCACAGAGCCGTGCAACATTCCTACCTACTGCAGCACAGTTTAGGCCTAAGCAAGCCGGGAGGAAATGAGGAGAAGGGCAGCTGGCAGAAAGGAATGGCGGCACAGTGACCAGCATGAAGGGGGGCACACAACAGAGGAGAACGGAATGGTGTGCGGGAAGGGCATGACTGCCACAGGTGTCACACATTGCCTACCTCTTCTCTAGCTTCCTGCGGAGCCAAGCCCTAGCTAAGTTTCTCACCTGGATTTCATTCCTGTGTTCCCTTAACTTCTGCTTTTCATTGTTCTGTGGAAAATGAATACAATTTTTCTAATCTGAGAAAGAAGTGATGAAAATTATTAGCTCTTAAGCTCATAGTTTTCATTAATTTTTTTGTTTAATGAAAGGTCCTGTGTACTACAATGTTATTATTGAATTAAATGTCTCTCTTTTACATAACAGTATCAACTTAAAATTTACATAATAACCACAAGCTCATGTATGGACACAAGACTGTACAAACATGAAAGTTGTATTAAAGAATTAATGGACATTTAAGAAATGTAATATTTCCCAAGGAGCCAGGTGGCACTGCTGTGTAAGCACTGGACTGTTAACAGCAAGGTTGGTGGTTCAAACCCAACAGAAAGGTGAGGTTCTCTGTTCCCGTAAAGATTAATAGCCTTTTAAACCCTATATAGGGTCATTGTGAATCAGAATCAACTCAGTGGCAATGGAATTTTTGATTTTGGTAAATAATCCTAAAACACATGATTGTAAATAAAAGTGTATACTTATACCACTGGCAGTGTTTATCTTAGATACAGAGATAAATCCTACTCTTATTAAAAAATAGGCATAATAGTGTTCACTTTGGTTACTTGGAATTCTCCAAAGTTCTCGCAAGGTCACTAATTCTTAACTAGTAAGTAAATCTGCACTATTTTATCTCAGCAAGTTCCTTGAAAATTCATTTAATGGTAGATTCCTGCTTTGGAATTATACTAGTGTCTTTCTTCCAAGGAGCCAACTCCTTAAAGCTTACTAAAAATCAAGGCAGTTAAGAAGAGAAAAGAGAAAAAATAAAAGAAAAGAGTGCATAAGCATATTTAGGTCCGTTAACAACGCAGACTATAATTTAGTCTAATATAGTACACTACACAGTGCATGGTATTTGAGTTAGTTAATTGTGCCAGCCTGGCCGATAATCACATGTGGTGCTGGTTGAAAGGCGGAGGGATAAATGGGTGGTGAAGCCTCACCTTTACCTCTTTGCTTCAATTTTCACTGATTCTTTTTGGAAAAGTGACTCTGTGTCTTTGATTTAGTTAATTGTGCCAGCCTGGCCGATAAT